GTTGCTCTAGAAAGTGCTGAAATTAATGTTATGACCAGAAGCTTGCAGGAACCTAACCTTATATTTCCCCTAGGTGCATTGGTTCAATATTTGTTAATTCGATATTGTGTCAACTTTATAAACATACCTCTGCAAATGATGAGAATCAACTATACTTGAGATAGAAGGCATGGTTCAGAGGGTAAGATTTTGGGAAGTGTAAGGAAATAGATGTGAAGTTAAGGGCTTTCTTTCTGTTACTAAAATAGGAATTACAGGGATTGAAGTTAGTGCTTCAGGCCAAGGCCTCAAATATTTTGCAGGAAAATTTTGCCTGGGTGAGTATAAAATCCTGTGTATATATTCAGTGGAGAACGTTTATACTTCTGGTCTTGATGTTCCTCATTTTCACCTATTTTAGGCCTACTTTACGATTACTTGTCAATAGCCAAAGAGAAGTGTTCTTAGGATTTTTTCGACCTTCTCTTAGGCAAAAGAATTGCTGTCCCCCACATTGAGTATTCTGTCTCCTTTCTTTTCCTTTGTACAACTTCATTGCTTTCCTGAAGTGTACTCTCTCTTAACTTCTAAATCTTTAAATCATTAGATTCCTTCAAGACTTACCTCAGATACTACCTTGCTATAGCAAGACTTTTCTGATACCCTTAGTTGTTAGCATTTTCTTTCCCTTTTCAAATTATATTATATTTATTTATTTGTATAAATGTTGTGTTTCTCCAGTAGGAAGAATGTAAGTTTCTTGAGGGAAGGAACTATTTTTAAATTTAGTATTTGTATATATAGTCCTTATCATAATGCCTTAGACATATTAGATTCTTAATAAATACTTATTAAGTAAATTGTGGTATCATCTGGAATTAGTGTCAGCTATTCATTTGACCTGAATTCTATGTGTTATAGAATTCCTTGAATGTGCTTCTACACTTTAGCTTGTTTCCAACCTGAAACTCCAAAATTCTTGCTCTGGGCTTTCTTATTGGTGAGTATTCACTATACTGAGGCTGGACCCAGAACTACCACACTAGTCCTCAGCCATCTTCATGCCTAGCCCTGGCTCTGATAAAAAACTAATAAAATCAGTAGTATCAACAAGTTTCTCTTGGCCACCACTTCTCTGTATGTGTCGTCTTCCCCTGTTTTTTAAGTTCTTTGGTGGCATGGACTGTCTCAATTGCATAGATTTATATCCCAATTCTTAGCACAGTGCTTGACACATAATGTTTAATATATGCCTTTTCTTTCATTCATTCATATCTATTTTTTCATATTATTTCATTTTTTATCTTGAACTTAAGAAACACTAAGTAAAATAAGCATTTATATATACATTGCGGAATAGGAGAGGATTATACTTGAAACTGTCAATCTATTATGTAGAGCTTGCATTTCTTTTTTTTTTTTTCCAAATTAAGTTATAACACATTTAATACTTGATGACTTCAATGCAATGCTGAGCAGTCAGTTAGTAAGCATTTGTTAAGCACTTATTATTTGTCATGCACTTTGCTAAACACTGAGTTTACAAAGAAAGACAAAAGCTAGTCTCTGCTCTCAAGGAGCTCACAGATAAATGGGGAGGCAATATAGAAGACAGAGAAAAACATTTTCTCAAGTGTTGTTATTAGTAAGAAGCCAGGGGTTTATTTATCTGTCTGTCTGTCTATCTATATACACATTTCTATCTATATACACATAATATGATAATATAACATTGTATGTTTTTTATATATATTTAATATTGCATTTCTTTTTGAGTATATAATAAATTTAACAGTAAATCTCAAACCATCCTGCTTGTTTGTTAACCCTTTTGGTTTTTCTTCTGTATTCTTCCCATTTGGGGGAGGAGAGAGGGAGATACTTTATTTCTAACCTTCCTATTCCAGTTCACCTCCCTCTCCAGTTGAATGAAAAGAAAACCAAACCGTAATAATAAAGTGCATCGTTGAGCAAAAAAAATTCTCTTGTTGGCCATAGCCCAAAATATATGTCTCATTGCACCTTGAGTCCATTACTATTCTTTCAGGAGAAGGCTAGTATTGTTCGTCATTGGTCCTCTGGAATTGTGGTTGGTTACTACATTGATCAGCACACTTAAGTCTTTCAAAATTGTCTTTTACAGTGCTCATGTTCTTGTATAAATTGTTTTCCTGGTTCTCTTCACTTCACTGTACATATTTTTTCCCAAGTCTTCCTTGGTCTATCTCTTCTGTCAGCATAATATTATTCCAGCATAATATTATTCTGTAACATTCATATACCACAATTGTCTAGCCGTTCCACAGTTGTTGGGCACCAGCTCAGTTTCCAGTTCTTTGCTGCCACAAAATGAGCCAGTATAAATTTTTTGTACATATGTGTATCCTTTTTCTCTTTATCTGATCTCTTTAGGGTGTTAGGCCTACTATATCCTTGAACTAAAGGGCATGCACAGTTTAGTGACTTTTTGGGGCATAGTTCCAAATTGCTTTTCACTGGATCAGTTCAATGCTGCAAGACATTAATGTGTCTGCCTTCCCACAGCCCCTCCAGTTTGTCATTTTACTTGTTGTTTGCTTTCCCAACCTAATGGATATGAGGTAGAACCTCTGAGTTTGCGTTTCTCTGATTATTAGCAATTAGAAGCATTTAAAAATATGACTATTGTTAGCTTGAATTTCTTCCCTAGAAAATAGCCTTTTGACAATTTATCTGTGGGGGAATGGCTCTTGTTCTTATAAATTTGAGTCAGTTCCTTATATGTTTTACAAATGAGACCCTTATTAGAGAAACTTGCTGCAAAGCTTTTTCGACTTATCTGTTTCCCTTCTAATTTTGACTGCATTGGTTTTATTTGGGCAAAACCTTTGAAATTTTATGCAATCAAAATTGTCCGTTTTATTTTGTTAGCTTCTCTATTCTTTCTTTGATCATGAGTAATTCTGCTACTCATAGTTCCAAAGGTAATTCTTTGCTTTTTGAATTGATTATGAAATGACCTTTCTCTAAACTCATATATCCATTTGGAACTTATCTTGGTATATAATGTGAAATATTAGTCTATACCTAATTTCATTCATTACGGCTTTTATATTAAGTAGCCACTCTGAATATTGCCCTCCTTGTTCGACTTTTTTTTACTCCAAATTTGTTTGTTTAAGTCTTCCCTTGTTTTTCTGAATTCTTCATGTGCGTTATTCTAAATGGTATAGTAATAATTTAAACATTTATGCAATGCAGTTTGCTCAAGTATTTCCAAATTATTTGACTTATGTTTTTCAGATTTTTTTTATTATTAAAGAAAAAAACAAAAAATGTTGTGACGAATCTCTTGGTACATAAGGGACATTTTTTTTTCTGTCATTCACCTCCTAAGGGCATCATGATACCAACAAGCATTTATTAAGCTCCTAGTATCTTCCCAGCATTGTTTCAGGGACTAGGGCTACAAACACAAAAATGAAACAATTTGTTGCCTCAAGGAGCTTACGTTTTGTCAGGTAGGAAAGCATGTACATATGAAAATAAATTAAATATCTATAAAGAAAATATAGAACAATTGGAGGAGTGGACTAGTAGCTGAAAGGATTAGGTAAAGCCACCTTTAAGAGGTAGCTCTTGAAGTAAGTTTTAAAGGAAGCTAGGGATTCAGAGTAGAGTTGAGGAAGAAGTGCATCATAGGCATATGTAAAGATGGCATTTCATGTGTGAGCACCAACTAGTAGGCTGGAATGGATTATTTGTCTTTCTTTGTATGCCTAGTGCTTAACATTGTGCCCAAACATAGGAATTGCTTAATAAATGTGTGCTGATTGATTTTATTGGAGTCGGTTTGTGATGGTCTTTAACTTGCAGAAGTCTATATTTTATTCAAGTAGCAATAGGGCAAGTAACATGGTCAGACTTCTGCTTAAGCAATAGCACTCTATATCATTACTTGACTATAAAAGAATTCACTTCTTTCATTTTTTAACAAGATTTTAAGGATGTTCTCTGAGTATTAAAATATAGGTTGATTTAATTTATAGGCTCTTACTAACCTTTTTATAGAATTTCTGTACCTCCTCACCCTTTGTAACAATTATTGGTACATAAATTTCAGGTATCTTCTCAGTGGGTTTTTTGCAAATGTTTATCATGTCATTTGCAATAAGATAAATATAATAAGATATTTAGGGAGTAGCTTTTTATTAATATAGTAATATATATTTTTCTTTGTCTTATTATAACACTATTATATTATGATCCATGAAACTAGGGATCTGCTGCAGAATTTCTGTTACATGTATCTGGAATCACTAAAATCTAGATTATACACACAGGCACATACATATATGTACACATGTGCATATATAAGTAAACAATTATTATTAGCATGTATGTGATACATTTTATGGATGATCTTCATAAAATTTTAAATTTGAAAGTGGATTTCCTCTTTCACACAGTATACTTCTCACCCTCCTTTCACCATGAGTATGCTTAAATAAAATATATAAACTATGATATCAGCATTAGGACAGTAAATCTTCTGGGCTCAACATCGTATAAGGAATCCAAAGTTCATTGTAAATTTCGTTTTGCTTATCTGTGCCATTTTCCTCTTTTAATTAGTATGGATGGAGAGTACTTATGTGTGAATTCTACAATTCTGTTATTTTTACTTTATTTGAAAATGGTCAAGTAAGACAATTCCTCAATCTTACAGAAGCTTCTAAGCTAATGTGGTGTGTCCATCAAAAATAATTTGGAGGCCTAACCAGCACCACCAAATCTATTTTATTTATAACCCCAGGCACAGTACAAACATATAATAACATAAGGGGTGGTACCATTTCTTTAAAATCTTTCATTTCAGTGTATAGAATCCTTTTTATTAAAAAAAAAAAGAAAGGTAACCTTAAATGCCTTATGGCATGAAAACGTGATATATAGTACACCTGTCAGTTCTGTTAAGGGTGTATAATAGCCATTGACAAAAGTATATTTGAAAAACCTGCTTTGATACTTTCCTTTTTCAGATTAGAAAGAGAGTGTTTCTCTAAAAACAAGAAACTAAATGAAGAGATCGAGGAACAGAAGAAAGTAATTATGGACCTCTCAAAGAGACTTCAGAGTAATGAAAAAAGTTTCAGTGAATTACAGGAAGAACTAGCAATGGTAAGGATAAAAGTATACCCTATGGTACTTACTTTATTGGGTCAAAAGTTGATGTATTGTGGGGTTTTTTTTATGCCGTAAGCTAAAGAGTTTTATGAAAATAAACAGACATATTGAGATAAAATTTCAAAATGGTTATCCTGGATATGCTAGCTTAAGTCATAGTTACTAATGAATATTTTAAGTCTCACTAATTTGAGTTTTTTTGTGTGTTTGGGAGGGGAGGGACTAGTATGATTTAGTGAAATGTGTCTGAAGGCATGGAATTCTTTAAAAAAAATAAATGCAGTGCAAGTTTTCTTTCCTTTAAATACAAAATCTTAACTCCTCCAAGGTCCTTAAAGAATATATGGGGTAGTGGAAAGAGAACTGGCAAAAATTGAGAAGAAATGCTTTCTCTGCTACAGTTATATTGCATGACTTTCTTCAAGACATTTTACCTACCTAATCTTAATTGGTAAAAACCAAGAGTGTAGACTAGATGATCTCTGAACATTCTTTCTACTTAACATTGAATGATCTGTGACCTCGAAGTTCTTCTGTAACTCCTTAGTTTGGTTGCTCATGCCATATCTGCTTCTCCCATCCAGTTTGCTTACTTTTTCCACAGAAAAAAGAGTATAGCTGATAGTAGATGATAGATCATAGATTTAGTACTAGCAGGAATGTTCTAGGTTACTTAGTCTAACCCCTCATTTAACAAATGGTAGAACTGAGGCCTAGAGAAGCCAAGTAACTAGTCCTGGATCATACATGTTAGAAGTTGTAAAACTGGGATTTGAACTTGTATCCTTTGACCCCCAAATTTAATATTCTTTCCCCTGCCTCATGTTTTTCCTTGTTTCACTTTATTGTTAGTATTATCCACCTTCAAGATCATTACTTCATTGTCAGTAACTCTTTCATCACCAAAGATTTTAGTATGTCTTAAGCAAGTTTACAGTGTTTTGTCTTTATAGCTTCCTAGGTGTAAAGGTAAGGTCTCTATAGCAACTCATGCTTGATTGAAATTTTTTTAGTTCTATTTGAATTGCCCCCAATGTCTGGTTAACTTTTGGTTGCATCCTGGCCACAATTGGGTATATGTGGTGTACTTTGAGTTTGAGAGAATTTTTGGCAGTTTGTATGAGTTTGAAATTTTGTCGGAGAGCTTTAGACACAATGGCAAGTTGTACTAGACTTTCTTCTTGTTGACTGACCAGCCAACTTGCTGAGTTTGAGATGTCTGTTGGAAATACAGTTTGAAATATCCAATAGGCAGCTGTTAATGCAGTTCTGTAGCTCAGGGGAGAGATTAGGGATTGTTTAGCTCATTGGCATAAAGATAATAATGAAATCCATGAGAATTTATGAGGTCATCAACAGTAAAAGTGGAGAAATGAAGGGAGGCAGAAGGAGCAGGGGAAAGAGGGGGGAGTAGAAAGGTCGGTGGAAAGGGATGGGTGAAGAACAGACAGAGTCAGAGGACCCAGGACAAAATCTTTGGAAACTCTCACAGCTAGGGGTTGTATATAGATGATGAGCTAGCAAAGGAAAGAGGAGGAGTAGTCAGTGAGGAGGAGAATCAGGAGAGAGGATGGTCACCAGCATGGAATAGAGCTGATGAATTGAGAAGGATGAAGAATGAGAAAGATAGTTGAGATCTGATTTGACAAATAAGATCATTAGTAACTTTGTAGTGAATTCAACTTAGTTGAATGATGAGTTTAGAAACCAGATTGCAAACAGTTAAGGAGTGAAAAGAAAGGAAGTGGAAATAGGAATTGTAAATAGTCTTTTTTAAATAAAAATTAATTAATTTATTTTTAGTTTTCAACATTCACTTCCACAAGATTTGGAGTTCCAAATTTTCTCCCCATCTTGTCCCTCCCCCCACTCCAAGATGGCATGCATTCTGAATAGCCCTAATCTGTCATCCCTTCTATCTCTCCCCGCTGTGTCCTCTTCCCTTTCAGTTTTCCTGTAGGGCAGGACAGATTTCTGTGTCCCATTTCCTGTGTATCTTATTTCTCAGTTGTATATGAAAACAATTTTTTTAAACTTTTGTTTTTAAAAATTTTGGGTTCCAAATTTTCTCCCTTCCTCCCTGCCCACCCACCCTCATTGAGAAGGCAAACAACTCAATACAGGTTATACATGTAGTCATGCAAAACACTTCCATGGTAGTCATGTTGTGAAAAACTAAATATATTTCCCTTCATCCTATCCTACCCCCCCATTAATTCTGTTCTCTCTTTTGACCCTGTCCCTCCTCAGAAGTATTTGCTTCGGATTACCCCCTCCCCGAATCTGCCCTCCCCTCTGTCATCCTCCTGCTCTCTTGTCCCCTTCCCTCCCTGTTTTCTATAGGGTAAGATAGATTTCCATACCCAATTGATTGTGTATGTTATTCTCTCCTTAAGCCAAATCTGATGAGAATAAGATTCACTCATTACCTGTCACCTTCCCCCGTTTCCTCTCCACTGTAATAAACTTTTCTGGTCTGTTTTGTGTGAGATAATTTACCCCATTCTACCTCTCCCTTTCTCCTTCTCCCAGTGTAATCCTCTCACCTCTTAATTTTATTCTCCAGATATCACCCCTTCATCTTCAACTCACCCTGTGCCCTCTATCTATCTATACATACAAACATGTAATTTTTTCCCTTCAACTTCTCTAATACTGACAAAGGACTCATGAGTTACAAATATCTTTCCATGCAGAATGTAAACAGTTTAACCTTAATAAGTCTCTTGTGATTTGTCTTTCCTGTTCCCCTCTTCATGTTTCTCTTGAGTCTTGAATCTGAAAGTCAAATTTTCTATTCAGCTCTGATCTTTTCATCAAGAATGCTTGAAAGTCCTCTATTTCACTGAATGTCCATTTTTTTCCCCTGAAAGATTATGCTCAGTTTTGCTGGGTAGGTGATTCTTGGTTGTAATCCTATCTCCTTTACTCTCCAGAATATTGTATTACAAGCCTTGTTGTCCCTTAATGTAGAAGCTGCTAAATCTTGTGTTATCCTGATAGTGTTTCCACAATACTTGAATTGTTTCTTTCTGGCTGCTTGCAATATTTTCCCCTTGACCTGGGGACTCTGAATTTGGCTACAATATTCCTAGGAGTTTTCCTTTGGGGATCTCTTTCAGGAAGTGATCAATAGATTCTTTCAATTTCTACTTTGCCCTCTGGTTCTAAAATATCTGGGCAGTTTTCCTTGATAATTTCTTGAAAGATAATGTCTAGGCTCTTTTTTGATCATGGCTTTCAGATAGTCCAATAATTTTTAAATTCTCTCTGCTGGGTCTATTTTCCAGGTCATTTGTTTTTCCAATGAGATATTTCACATTATTTTCTATTTTTTCATTCTTTTGAATTTGTTTTACAGTGTCTTGATTTCTCATAAAGTCACTAGCTTCCAATTGTTCCATTCTAATTTTTAAGGAAGTATTTTCTTCAGTAATCTTTTGGACTTCCTTTTCCATTTGGCCAGTTTTTCTTTTTAAGGGATTCTTCTCCTCATTAGCTTTTTTGGACCTCTTTTGCCATTTGGGTTAGGCTATTTTTTAAGGTGTTATTTTCTTCAGTATTTTTTTGGGTCTCCTTTAGCAAGTTTCTGACTTGTTTTTCATGATTTTCTTGCATTACTCTCAGTTTTTCCTCTACTTGTCTTACTTGCTTTTCAAAATCCTTTTTGAGCTCTTCTATGGCCTGGGACCAATTCATATTTTTCTTGGAGGCTTTGGATGTAGGAGCTTTGACTGTGTTGTCTTCTTCTGGTTGTATGTTTTGATCTTTTTGTTACCAAAGAAAGATTCTATGGTCTGACTCTCTTTGTGCTGCTTGTTCATGATTCCCGCCAATTACTTGAGTTATAAACTCCTTGTTAAGGTAGGAGTCTGCTTTCATTGTAGAGAATGTACTGTCTCAAGCTTCGGGGGTTTTGTGTAGCTGTTTTTTCAGAGATACTTCTAGGGACCTGAAAATTTTCAGTTCTTCCAAGGTGCTATGATCAAGGGTGAGGCATTTACTCCTTTCCTGGCCTGTGCTCTGGTCTATGAGTGACTATAAGCACTGTTTTCTGTCTTGGAACAGTGAGGAGAATTTTCTCTCTACAGCTGCTACAAACTCCCACTCCAGCACTCCTTCTTGCCCCAGGACCACCACCCAGAACTATGATCCAGATCCAGGTACGGGCAAAGCAAGAGAATCCTGCACCAGCAGAGAGATCCCTGCAATCCCCCTCTGATCAGCCACTCAATTCTTCCTCAGTCTGTGGGCCAGAATTCTCTGGAGGCAGCCGCTGCCCCGGGGCCAAACTTGGACAATGGTGCTGGGTTCTCTCTCTCTCTCACCGCAGACACAGACTTTTCCTACTGACCTTCTAAGTTGTCTTTGGCGTTCATGAGTTGAGAAGTCTGGAAACTGCCATAGCTGCCTGTGATTCAGTCCTCTGAGGCCTGCTCCAGGTTTGCTGAGATCTGTGCGCCCATGCCGATCTGTGCTTCTCTCCCTGCCTGGTGCAATATACCTTTCTGATGAACCATCCAGGTTATCTTGGGCTAGAAATTTGTTTTACTCAGTCTTTTTGTGGATTCTGCTGCTTTAGAATTTGTTTAGAGCTGTTTTTTACAGGTATTTGGAAGGGTTTGGCAGAGAGCTCCAGTAAGTCACTGCTTTTACTCTACCTTCTTGGCTCCTGTAAATAATGTTTTTTGGAGTTTGGCTGAAAAGGGAGGAAAGATGGAGGACAGTAGCTTTGAGAGGATGCTAGTAAAGGTTTTTTAAGGATGAGAGAAACTCAGACATGTTTGAAGGCATGAGGGAAAGAAACAGCAGATAGGGAGAAGTTGAAAATTTGAGTGGAAGAGATGATTGAGGTTGTAATATTTTGGAGAAGATGGTAATGCATGGTGTCCCAGGTATCTGTAGAAGAAGAGTTGGCTTTGGCAAGGAGAAGGGCCACCTTTTATCAGAGATTGAGAGAAAGGAGAATGCAGGGAATTGTATCAAAAAAGTTT